TGCCCAGGCGGGTCTCGAACCCACAGGCTCAGGCAATTCACTCACCTCAGCCTCCCAAGGCGCAGGATTACAGGCTGAGCCTCCGAGCCCGGCTCATAAGGAACATTTGTATACCTAACCCTGAATTGTACCCCACATCTTTATTTTTTTTTAATTTTTTTTTTTAGTCGGCGTCACACTCTTTGTTGCCCAGGCTGCAGTGCAGTGGCACACTCACGTGCAAGGCTCAGGCAATTCTTCTGCTTCAGCCTTCCAAGTAGCTGGATCTACAGATGCACACCAACACACCCGGCTATGTACTTCACATCTTCAAAATTAAAAATTTTTTTAAAAAAAGGCTGGGTTCGGTGGCTCAGCCTGTAATCCCAGTACTTTGGGAAGCCAAGGTGAGTGGATTGCCTGAGCCCAAGGGTTTGAGACCCACCCAGGCAACTTGGCAAGACCTCATCTTTACAATAAATAAATATCTGGGTAGAGCATGCCTATAGTTCCAGCTATTTGGTAGGCTGAGGCAGGAGGATCGCCTGAGCCCAACATGTCGAGGCCGCGGTGGCTGGGAGCGTGCCACTGCACTCCAATCTGGGTGACAAGAGTGAGACTCCAACTCAAAAAAAAAAAAAAGAACCTGGCAGTAGGCTTTTTGTGTATCTCGATAGAACAGGGAAATATTAGTTGTGTGGATAGTGCATACTGTCTGCAGTGGACAGGCCTGGATTAGGGCCCCAGTGCTGCCCTCACTTGCCCTGTAACTCGGACCTTATGTGGTACTGCCCCATCTTCTACCTTCCGTGGTTAGAATTATTTCTAAGCCGGGCTTGGTGGCTCAGCCTGTAATCCCATGCTTTGGGAGGCTGAGGTGAGTGGATTACCTGAGCCTGCGGGTTCGAGACCCACCCGGGGAACTTGGCGAGACCGCATCTCCACAATAAATCAAAAAATTAGCCGGGCATGGTAGCGTGCGCCTGTAATTCCGGCTACTCAGAAGGCTGAAGGATCACCGGAGCCCAGCAGGTCGAGGCTGCGGTGGCCAGGAGCGGCCACTGCACTCCAGTCTGGGCAACGGAGTGAGACTCCAACTCAAAAAAAAAAGAAAAAAAAGAATTATTTCTACTTTGTTATTTTAATGTTTTGGTATTTATTTATTTTTGCGACAGGGTCTCACTGTTGCCTAGGCTGGGGAGCAGTGGCATAATCATAGCTCACTGCAGCCTTGAACTCCTGGACTCAAGCAATCCCCCTGTCTCACCCTCTCGAGTAGCCAGGACTACGGGTGTGTGCCATCATATCCAGCTACTTTTTAAATTGTTTTGTATAAATGAGGCCTCACTATGTTGCTCAGGCTGGTCTTCACCTCCTGGGCCCAAGCAATCCTCCCACCTTGGCCTCCCAAAGTGATGGGATTGCAGGTGTGAGCCACCCTACCCAGCCTTATATGGTTAGAATGGAACGTGATCACCTATTTATGCCATCTGGAACATGTAAGCACTCAAATGTCCCCTCTTCCAAGTTCTAGGCACTATAGCATATACCTTGTGAGGCTGGTTCCTTTTCCTCTCGCTCACATTTTCTTTCTTATTTTATTTTTTCATTTTTTTTGAGTTGGAGTCTCACTCTGTCACCCAGACTGGAGTGCAGTGGCCGCTCCCGGCCACCGCAGCCTCGAC